GAGGAGGAGGAGGGCTGAATGCTTGGGCAGGCGCAAGCTGCCGCTGTCTGATTCGATTCACATGACAGAAGGAGACTTTGCAAGGTGAGAAGGGACGAGCTTCATCGTGACTGACAATGATGCGATGATGACAATGATGATGGAGATGATGATGGAGATGATGATAACAATGATGATGGAGATGATGATAACAATGATGATGATGATGGTGATGATGGTGATGGAGATGATGATGATGATGGAGATGATGATGATGATGATGATGATGGAGATGATGATGATGATGGAGATGATGATGGAGATGACGATGGAGATGACGATTGAGATGACGATGGAGATGACGATGGAGATGATGATGGGGATGATGATCAAAACAATGTCGATATCGATGATTTTGACAATCTCCCGGACAGTTTGACGTGTGATGGGAGTCTCTGCAATGAGGACGGAGAGTTCGACGCGGAGCAGTTCAGATCCATGTAAGAGCAGCTTGTTCTCTTGCTTGCTCTATTGCTTCTTGTCTTGCTTCTTGTCTTCTTCTTACATTGGTTCTACTTTTTCTTCTTTCTCTTGTTTGACGATTCCCTGATGCAGGATGTACGTTGAACTCAAACGTTTTGCGATGAGAGAGATGTCGAACGCCATGCTCGAAGCCGACAACCGACAGTAAGAACTGGAGAGCTTGAGGAGTAGGAAGGAGCAGGGGCAGGAGTAAGAGCAGGGGCAGGAGTAAGAGCAGGGGCAGGAGTAAGAGCAGGGGCAGGAGTAAGAGCAGGGGCAGGAGTAAGAGCAGCGGCAGCAGTAAGAGCAGCGGCAGGAGTAAGAGCAGGGGCTGGGGCTGGGGCAGCAGGAGCAGGAGACGAGGAGGAGGATGCGAGGAGGAGGAGTTTCTGACAGAGCCTATCAGGATCAGGACCATTCTTCTCATCCTCAAGTTCCTCGTCCTCTCGATGGACAGCATGGAGAAGTCAACAAAGGATGCTCTGAACAAGCTGCAGCACGAGCGCAAACACTCCAAGAGCCGCCACAAGTCTCATCGATCCTCCAGCGACGTCGGGGCGACCTCCACAGACGACAAGGAGAACGAGCGACGAGAGCAGAGGACGAGCTCCGAGAACCCTCGGGCGAATCTGAGGGAGGAAAGCAACGGAATGAATCATCCCATACAGAGGGTGAGGGAGCGGCGGCACAGCTCTGCTCCCGTCTGCTCCTCCTCCAGCAGCAGCCTGGCTCACTCCATCCTCCTCTCCCTCCCCGAGATGAGCCACAACCACAAGCAGCATCACAGCGGGCAGAACGAGAAGCAAGTCAAGGAGGAGAAGAAAGTGCAGCAGGAGGTAGTCAACTCCGTCTCCTCTCCTCGTTGCTACCTCCCTCCTCTCCGTTACCTCCAGTCTCCTCATCCTGCCACCTTCTCCTGTCCTCTCTACACCTCCCACTCCATCACTATCACTGTTGCAACTATCATTACCTCTGCATTGACCAGCTCCTCCATCTCAACGTCCTCCTCTTCCTCCTCTCACTTCTCTGCCCTCCACTGAAACTTCTTCCCACAGAAGTTCGACTGGAAGCGCCAACAGACGTGGGAGGGAAGCAAATTCAGCGTAACAGCTTGTTTCCTGCATCATGTGATGATGTTGACATCAGTCAATCTCTCAGCTCCTCCTTGACGAGTTCGAATTACAACCGAGAACAGGAAATGTGCGTATCTGAATGATCTCTCCCTCGTTTCTCTCCTCCGTCCTCCTCTCCATCACTCCTTCCCTCCGATGATCCTCCCCTCCAACACTTCTCTCACCTTCCATTCCCCCTCCTCCCCTCCTCTCCTTCTTTCTTCTCTTCTCCCTCTCTCTCTACCTCTCCCCTCCTGCGATGCTCATCACGTTCTGCAGTCTACCTTGCACTCGTCGAGCAACGCCAAGACTAGCACGGCAGCCTCTACTCCTCTCAGACTGCGAAGAACATCTGATGTATTCCATCCCCATTCCAGACCATATCGCACCCAACTTCTCCTCCTCCTCCTCCTCCTCCTCCTCCTCCTCCTCCTCCTCCTCCTCCTCCTCCTCCTCCTCCTCTGACCTCTTTTCGTCCTCTTTTTTCGTCTCCTCCTCCTCCTCCTCCTCCTCCTCCTCCTCCTCCTCCCCCCTCAACCTTGCATCGACTGCTTGCAGCGTCCTCCTTCCCTCAACCCACTTTCTGGTATCCTGTGCACCTGACCAACCCCTCCCTCTCACCTTCCTCCCTGTCCTATTCTCCCTCCCTCAGCTCCTTTACTAACTTTTCTCTCAGGTCCAGCACAAGTCCAGCAGAAGGTCGCTAGACGGAAGTCCCAGGGACGACGAGACTGCCTCTCACAGATCGCAGCTGGACTCCTATCCCCCTGACTCCAGCACACAGCCCAGCAGGAGGGCCAGCACGAGCAGGCCTTCCATGAAGCCCGCGTACGACATCCACACGCTAGCTGGAAGCTACTTCTTAAAGGAGTCGGCGAAGCAGAGGAAGAGACAAGGTGGGAGAGACTGGAGGGGCAGGGGCAGGGGCAGGGAGGAGCGATCAGAAATAGCCGGGAACAACATATTTGGGGATAGGAGGCAGGAAGGAGTGGAGGGGGAGCGGAAGGAGAGGCAAGAGGCGGGTGAACAGGAGGCAGGGGAGGGAGGGGGAAGCTGACTCTTGTTTCTGCAGACATCCAGGACTGGAAGGCTCGCAACACCGATATGCACCCTGAGCTGCCGCTGTACAGCCCCTGACCCACGAACTTCCTCCTTCCCCTCCCTTCCTCGCTCAGCGTCGAGGGGGGCACGAGAGAAGGGGCTGACGCAGTGATAGGAAGAGGTGTTGTAGCGAATGAATAAGGTGATGTGATGAGAAGAGCTGGTGATATGGTGTAATGAGATGAGAGAAGCGGATGACGTAGTGAGTGAAGGTAGTATGTCGATGTTGATTGTTGTGGTATGTTGTTGCTGTTGTTGCTGTTGATGATGTGACAACATCGCCACGTCATCTCAACGTCCTCGTCCTCTCCGCTAGCGGATGGTCTCGGGGGAGAGGCGCCTGCATCGAGGACTCACTGTGCTCCTGTTTCCACCACCTCGACCAGGCGCACCTGGAAGAAATGGCTGCTGCTGCTGTCGTGCCCGAGCTTGTGCCTCTCCTGCTCCACCGTGAGCAAGTCGCTTCGAGGACGCGCCTCGACCACCTCGATGATCGCCCAGGAGAAGGTCGACCAGAAGTTGCCCAGGAAGGAGGCAGCACGAGAGCAGACGAACTGCAGGACGAGAGCCGATGAGAATGCAGAGGCAGAGCTGGGCTCCTCACCTGGTCCACTATGGCGACCTGAGCCTCTCCCGTCGTTATCCCCATCCGCTTCCGCAGCCCGAGATCGAAGAGGACGAGCTGGGGGATCGAACTGACAGGCAGAGGGTCAGCAGGCATGGCAAGCACGACAGGTCCTCACCGCTGGATGCGCGAGATTTCCTTCCCATCCGCTGCAGCCAGTTCCTTTCAGTCTCCTCCCACCCCCACCAGCCTCACCGTCTGTAGCGAGAAAGATTTCGGACAAGTTTCTCGATCGAGCCAGCGTCTGGACCTTGGAGGCTCGTCAGCCCTCAGCCTCTTTCCCACCTACGTGCCTGCTCAATCACTTGGTCTGTCTCCGGCCAGGCATGCTGCCGATTCTTCCAGTAGGACATGTCGTTCCTACGAAGATGCACTGGAACATATGTGTCATGCCCCATCCGCCAGTAGAAGGACTGACCCGCAAGAAACGAACTTTCTCTCATATTTGTTGCAAGCATGACGGCGCGTCCAGCGCTCTGCAACGAGAGCAATCATGAGTGTAGAGCAAGAAAGTAGGACCACGACAAGAGGGCAGGAAGGAGAAGAAGAGAAGGAGCGAGCAAGAATGAAAGTGGACTAGGAGGCACCGCGATCTGCTGGGAGAAGTGCAAATGCTGAAGGATTTCAACTGCCAACCATCACAGTCGTCAACACTTCATTTCACATCATCTCCCCAACTACCGTAGAAGTCCGACGGGGTGAATTTCACGTCAATTCCTGCCAAGTGAAAACTTTGAGCTGCCACGGCAAGTAGCTCGATGGGAGTTTACTCCTCGGGGTCCACTCCGCAGTCCCATTGAAGAACTCAAACTCTCCAGCGTTGCCGAGGTCGAGCAGCCTTGGGGTTGTCGGGCGTGAGAGAAAACAAGAGCAGGCAAAGCAGGTAGATGGCGAGATAGCACCGATAGGAGAAGTCGATAGCGAGCACAGGGAGCTTGCTGGGGGGAAAAATTACCAGAGGCATCGGAGTCTTCAACGTTTCCAACCTTCTTCCGAGATCTTGTTCGAGCTGTTGGGGGGGGCGGGGGGACTGGATTTGACTGGCAGACGTCCAAAATCATGGGCAGCCCCACACGATCGCCGGAGTTACTCAGGGGAGACGTAGGAGATGGTTCCGTAGGACAGCCCGAAGGAAGAAAACTTGACCCCAAGTCAACGGACAGGCTGAAGGGAAAGCCAATAGAAGTGCAGGGAAAGGAAAGGAAAGTAGCACATGGGGATCTACCTGCCCCGAGTAAGCGTAGTCCCGCACGTGAAGCTCTGTGTTGACGGGCGGGAGCTTCGGTACGACTCTGCAAGGACGCGATCAGCGGGCCAGACAGACTGCAGGAGCAGGAGACGCACTCATAAACAAACCGACTCTGATCTATCAGCTTGATGTACTGTCACAAGTCCACGTCAGCGCGTTGCTGAGACCCATCAATGCAAGCGCGGCACTTGTGAGAGCCGTTGGAGGTCATGGAAACGATCGACCCCCTCTCGCTTCCTGCCTCGATCTCATCCCAGGAGCCCGAGGAGAGGAGGACATGGGAGACTGACCTGTTAGCCTTGTGGTTTGCCATCCACCTTCCTTCCACCATGTCAGGGAGCACGAGGGTCCGGTTCAGGAGCCTCGCTGCTCCGATCATCCCGATCAGCTCTTGCCTCCTGTTGCTTAGTCCTGGATGCACGACAGAGGAAGACGATGGATGTATGAGACGGCACGCACGAGAAGAAACTAATTTTACCTGCCCAAAACCTGAAGACAAGGAACCTCTCCGAGGAAAACCCCTCAGTGGACTGGTGATCTTTGTTTGCCTTGCGATGGTTCAGAACTCGCCACGACCACCTGATCTTCACCTTTCTCTCCACCAGCGCTCGCAGGTTCTCTCTGCCACCCAACAAACTTCACACACACGAAGCTGCACCGTAACGACAACACGTGCCTGCACACATGAAAGAAGGTCGGAACGCCTGGAGCCATCCTCGTCAACACCCTCCCTCTAGACTAGCGAGATCTCACTGTTGTGCTCCTTCGCCAGACGCAACGCTGACATGTAGTAGTTCTGATAGCAGCACATCGCCATCAGGCAATGCCCCACATTTGTATTTCTACCAACCCTTGCGATGTGATCTGACTTGGTTACCTCAGACAACATCCCTAGATACTGCATGGACATGAGCGGAGCATGCTGCGCATCACGGTCTACCATGGCCGATTGCATCCTGACGTTGATGTACGCAAATCTCAACTTGTTAGATATCGAGCTTGCGTTTGCTACATTCAGATCATGAGATTAGGAGCAGGAGCAGGAGAAAGAGGAGGGCAGGGGCGGGGGCAGCCAGAGGAGGAGGAAGTCACCTGTCCCCACGTCTTGCGACATCCTGTAGGAGGTCTGCATGTACCTGTAGAGTGTGAGAGGGTCAGGACCCAACGGCTCGCAGCCACGCGAGATGACCCCTGTGCCTGCTGATGATGCTCGGACCGCAGAAGTTGTATCCCATGCTCTAAACATCGCACTGCCAGCTCGAGGCGATTGCTGTAGCGGCCTTCGAGCTCTTGAAGTAGTTCACTACAACGAGGAGATAGTGCAATCTTGTACCTTGTTGATGCCTCTGGCCTTCCTGGCTGCTTGCCACAAGGATCTAGCACAGTGCATCACGCAAGAACCAAGACGGTTCAAGTATTCACCGATAGGAAAACAAGGCACAGAATGATCCTGCTGCATTCCCTTTCTTTCATCTTTGAGCAGCAGTCACGACGATAGTTCCATTGATTTCTCCTCCCATGGATGTGTCAGCATTCCCGGTTTCCTGCGCAGCTCTCTGGACGTCAAACCTACCTCCTCCTCCTTCCTCTACCTCCTCCTCCTTCCTCTACCTCCTCCTTCCTCTACCTCCTCCTCCTTCCTCTACCTCCTCCTCCTTCCTCTACCTCCTCCTCCTTCCTCTACCTCCTCCTCCTTCCTCTACCTCCTCCTTCCTCTACCTCCTCCTCCTTCCTCTACCTCCTCCTCCTTCCTCTACCTCTACCTCCTTCCTCTACCTCCTCCTCTTTCCTCTACCTCCTCCTCCTTCCTCTACCTCCTCCTCTTTCCTCTACCTCCTCCTCTTTCCTCTACCACCTCCTTCCTCTCTACCTCCTCCTTCCTCTCTACCTCCCCTGCTCGTTGGCAACTTGTTCCACTTTGCCGAAAGACTCAAAAAGCTTTTCCCTTTATTGACTGAAAAAGAAGCGGTACGGTATGTGGCCTGCCATTCGGAGTGCCCGGCCCGGCCCGCCGGGAGTCGGCCGGACTCCCGAGTCCCCGGCGGCCCCGGCGGTGCACTGCGGCTGATTTTGGACTTAACCGTAACTTTGAGTAAAGACCGTCGGACACTCCGGCAGCCAATGTAGCCTGGCATGGAGATGCCAAGTTCGCCGAGCCCGGTTATCAGTGAAGGCTCGGCCCTTACTGTGTCACTGTCACGGTCACGAGTCGTCTCCGTCAGTGTGCCGTACTCCGTACGGTCTTGGGTCTGGATGCTGGCAGTGGGTTTCAACTTGAATTCGAGCCTAGCCGCCCATACGGTAGTACCGTGGCAGTCCGACGGTCTGTCTCTCATGTGCTCCTCAATCCTGCAGTGCTTTCCTGTACCGTGGGCCGTCGGACTTGAGCACTTGCCTCGGAAACCTGTTTTGTTGCAGCCAACAAACTCGTACAGGCTCCGGCTGAGTCACCGCGGCGCCTTTGAACCGTCCGGCGCCGGGCGCCACCTGCAGGCTTATCACGAGCTGAGTGACCCGGTGACCGTACGGTATCGCAGTGCTAGGGTGTGATAGATCTACGTGAGCGGATACAGCACAGCTCCGTCCAATTGACTACTGTGACACTTTACCAAAGTTGCACCGTTCCTTGTTGCTAGCCTAACTCTAGTATCTCCTACTGGAGGGGTTTCGAGTCCGATATCGCGACCTCATTCCGCCATGTTGCTGTGTATCATGTACACACTACTGCACACTTTACTCATCATGGCACTATATCGACATGTATCCAAACTGACTTGACTGAGCGAATCTGGGGGCGAGGACTGGGTCACTGTGACTTCAATCGAAGACAGCATACCGTTGTACTCCCTTTCTCTCGATCCCCTTGCAAAGTTTGATTGCGCATCCAACTTCAGGAGCAACGATGTGATGTGTGTTTGACTTCCGATCGTACTGAGAAGCTCTCTGTCGTCTCCCACCACACGAAAACATCTGTAATCCCATCATTGCAATGAGGAAACGAATGAGTTGAACATGATCGCGCTGACTGTAAACTCTTTGCCCCCAACATCGGCAGGGTTGGTGCTATGAGAGGAACATCCTGAGATGAGATCGAAGCGTCCAAACATCTTCCATGACGCTGCTGTTCACACACGTATGCAAATGGCGCCATGCATACCGCCTCAACCATTTTTGATCTGAGCACATATGAACATGACTCACGTCGTGCCATGATGGACGGGAGGAGTTATCCGTGCGCTAGCTCAGAGGTCTGCGACTGAGGACGCTGAGTATGATCTGTGTAAGCGCTCGCCGCTGCGGTGAAGCTCCCACACCAGGCTCATCAGGGTCGTGACGTCGGACTACCCATGGACCCCCCATCCATAGGACCAGCCCACCCCTCCTCAAGATGCCTCAGGCTGACGGAAACCGTTTGAGCATTTGGTACTGCGGACCGAGCCGAAGTTTTTTTATCCCTAGATAGGCCCACCCACCCCTACCCCCCCCCTGCCCTGACGTAATAAAGTTTATAAGTCAATTTTGAGTTTACTCCTGCGATCTTGCCCCTGCCTCCCTTTAATTAACCCCCGCATTGCCCCCCGTTTTACCCCTACTCAAGGCACCCCAGTATCTCAAACTAGTTACGACTGTTGCCATGACAAAATTCCGCATGACTGTCAGTCAGCAGCTCACATGGTCAGTCAGCATGTAGGCTGGTCACGGCGTGATCCGCTGTGATCCGTGACATCAGCTGGCAGGGTCTGAAAGGTCAGGAGCCTGGTAGGCTAGTAGGAGTCCAAGAGCCCGGTCAGAGCCTGCCATGCCTGAATCTGCTTGATCAGATCACCCTTTCTATGTCCTGAATCTGTTTGATCACTTCACAGTTGTTGTAAGAAATGGTTGTCAATGCACTGCAATATCCTGTTTGCTGCTTGACAGCAGTAATGTCGACCTGCTCCCTCTGTAGTTGACTTGATTCTTCCTCATCTCCCTCTCTTCTTCTTGCGCTCTCTTCTTCTTACGAGCTTTTTGCGTACATGGCATCTGATGTAGTCTACTTGAGGCAGGGTCCTTCTGTCTGTCACAGCTTTGGATGCCCTCCTGTTGTGTCGTCGTATGTGACAACGTTGTTGTACACACATCATTCCGAACGGTGTGCCTTTTCCGTTCACCCCGGATGTAGGAAGTTCTTTGCTTCATCGAAGTGCCATCTGCTTTTTTCTTGTTTTGCTGTGTAACGATTCATATTTTGAATCTCAGAAATTGGCATTGCAGCAAAAGTTCTAATTGCTTCGAAAATCTCACTCTCAAATTATGGTGAAATGAATTACAGAATACCTCACAAACAACAGTGATAGCATTCAATTAAACAGACCTCTGGGTCTGCGTCTGAACACGACTTCAGTCTCTGCCTGACCTGCTTGCTAGCCTATTGCCTTCATCTGCCTCCGGGTGTAATGACCGTGTGTGCTACAATGGCTGAATGCTTCCTTCCCCCTTGCTCGACAATCTTGAATATCTGCGTATGCTTGATGACACCTTTCACCTCCCCTTCTTGCGAAAGTGTTCACGCACCCTGTTACAACTTCCAACTTTTCGCCGTCTTTCCGTCTAATCAGGCAACAGCATGAATTTCACACTTCTTACTTTTTGGTTCGTCACTCGTCCGAATGCCTGCATTCCTGTTGATACTGCACATACAATTACAGCCGTGTGTGCATTCAACTAATTGCCTGCCTGTCTTCCAACCAGCCATGACGCAGGATTTCTCTCTACCTCGCTTGTGACTTTGCGAACCCCGATCTACCTTTTCTCAGAGAGCATGTCAGTGAGAAACATAGATGAGCTTGGTTATTGCTGTCACCGTTTGTTAGGGAATGCTTCTAGCAAACAGGTTTTTTATTCAAATTATTTTAGGAACACTGATGAGAGACAGGACCATCATTAACATGAGAGAAGATACCATGTGTGTTCTCTGTTGCTATCTCGTGTATCAGTTCTAACCTGCATATCTTTAAAACCTTGCACCTTCTTCTCGTCACCGCTTGCGTCTCCTTAAATTTCCTCACGGTCAAAACCACCTTGCACCCTCTTCTTCGACATCACGGTTTTACAAAGAAAAAACCGGAGCTCCGACTATAAGTGTTTTAGCGATTTGCAGCTGACAGGCTGGGGCGAGCTGAAGTGTGGGGGTGGGGTACCAATATCAATCAGTAGACGGGCAGATAGAAGATGGGGCGTGAGGGGTGGGTCTCGGTGATATTGTAGGGTAGGGTGTATCAGTTCGTCAAGTGTTAACTTGACCTGTTGGGAACGGGTGGGTAGACTGAACTATGTATATAAAGTTGAATCTGGAAGTGAGAGGGAGGGGGGTAGGGGTACTTTTGTAATTCTGATGGAGGGCGGTGGGGTGGGGGTCGGGTCGGGATTTCTGGATAAGGTTCTAATTGACCAATAACGACTCGGGAAAAGGGGGGGTAGGGGTACATTGCGAAAGTAAATCAGGAGGGGTCTAGGTCCATTTTCGTCCGATTTTTTTACCCGGAAAATCCATGGGTGGGGTAGTCAATGCGGTAAGTTCTCTTTTATACCAGGCGCACCGATTTTTCTAGCGCACGCTGGTGCAAATAGAGGGGTGGGGTAAGGAGAAGAGAGGCGCACGAAGGGGTGGGTAGGGACCAGATTTCAACTAGGGACGGGGCTAGCAAGGTTCCGCGTGCCACTGCTCTCCCTGCAGCTCACACGCAAGTAAAGCAAGCTCGCCCTCATCGCAGCTGGTCCTCCCTCCTTCCCTCCTGCTTCTGTCTATTGCACCATCTTGCTGTGAACTCCTCCCCTCATTCTCACGATATACTGAGCATAATCCCGGAATTCTCCATCAAGGAGACTGATACTTTCCCCAAGCGTCTGACCAACTTGGCAAGTTGCGACATCATTGTGCCATCGGCCCCAAGCACAAGGAAATCCTAAGGACGAAGCTTGATTCGGAGACTTCTGCAACGACTTTGACGCCACGAATCAGTAAACGTTCAACTAGACATGCAATCAAACGTGGTCGTGAGGGCCAGGGCCAAGGCCGGAAAGAACCAAGCAATGGCAAGGTTGATCTCAACTTGATCATGCTGGGGCGACTCTATCACCTCCGTCAAGAAGACGCTGCAAAGAACTGGTGAGTTGGATCTCTTTGAATCCTCACTTACTGTTAAAGCTTACACTCTCCTTCTTAGGGCATCTCACTGACAAGCCTCAAGACAGCCTGCCGTCGGCTGGGCTTAAATCGTTGGCCATACACCAGATCAAAAGCCAAAGAAGAATCGGAAGCGGCACCACAGCCCAAACCTCGCACCAAGTTCAGAACGGCGGAAGAATGTCTGTTGAGCAACATTAAGACCTCCGGATCATCTTCGACAAAACCATCAGAACCTGCTCCCGTTGCGGACAACCAAGACGATGCCATGTCTGAATCCGACATTTCGTCCGATTGCGTGCAAGTGGAAAGTGATGGTGGAGACGCAAATGCTGAGGACATCTCTGAGCAGATCGTGGACCAGAAGTGGATCGAGTGGTTTCTGACTGCCGACGAATCGGATGAAATTGATGTTGAGATTTGAATCAAGGGCAGCGACACACGGCAGGCGATGCATGACGCATGTAAGCACGTGGCAAGACTAACTTCAGGGACGTCACGGCCCAGTATCTGTGACAACCTACCGAAAATGTTGGATCTAAGTTGAAGGCCTCTGGAGACGGTTGTTGAAACGCATGTCACAGTCCAGCTTCTCTATTCAACGACTAATCTATGATTGATGAGTGTGAAATATAGCCTCTGTCTTAATTAATATCTTTTAAATGAAATTTCAAAGTGACAGATACCGTGCCCGGTAACAGATCGCTACAGTGATGTCTACAAATAGCGTGCCATTTTGGTATGACTCGTCTGCCAGGCTGTTATCCTCTTTCTGGATTATGTTGAATGATGAGAATCTGTGAAGTCACGGCCGCTAAGTTTCATGTGCTCCCCGTATTGAATGCTACTGGGCCGTCTGGCGCGCAAGCAGCAACAAGTCACGTGACTGCTGAGTTTCAGTGTTGCCCAACGCGAGCAACGAGTTGGTTTTTATTCAAAGTTAACTTAAAAATCAGTACGAGGACAATGTTTGGATAACGCGAATTTCACCGTAGAAGATTTCGTAGTGCGCCAGGCATGATGACTAAAATTGAATCAAGTACTGAAGAAAATTGATTTCTGACGGTCTCGTGCTATATATATTTTTAGGGTGCCTGCTTGAAAATTTAGGCAATCAGGCCCAAGTTGGTGATCCAATGGGGCCACTGAGTCACTGCCACTCTCGGGCCGCCAGGGCCGGGCCACGGGCCCGGCCCGGCGGCCCCGGACTCCGGGCACTCAGTCATGCCGATGATCCCGACGTGATGCGGTATGAGGGGCAAGAGCAAATGGCCTGCAAGGTGGTTGATCAGATCAGTGAGCTCAGACGATGATGGGCGGGGGCGGTAGAATGCAGGTGAGGAGGAGGAGGAGGAGGAGGAGGGAGGAGGAAGGAGGAAGGAGGAAGGAGGAGGGGCAAGAGCGGGAACGAGGAGAACTTCTGGAGATTGAGAGGGAGACGAGAGGGAGACGCCGGGTGGGGGGGAGCAGCTGCAGGGCGCGATGAAAAGGTCTGATCCAACCCGAGCTGCGCAGATCTTCCTCTTCCTCTTGCTCTTTCATCTCTCAGTGACGCATGACCTCGTCGGATGGAGCCCTTGGCTTTCCTCTCACAGCGCAAGGAGCCTCCATGACCGTCGGTTGCTGCAGACAACCGCAGCTTCTGCTGCAACGGGTGACCCCTGTGCTGGCTGCCTTGGCGTTGAGTGAGAGGAATCGCAGAGGATTGTCCTGCCGTCACAAACTCAGCATCTTGCCTGGGGTTTCTCATCCAGGCAAGGAGCTTGCCTTTGTCTCATCCCTGATGCAGCAGATGCAGGAAAGGACGATCGCAGATGAGAGGGATTGGCAAACCGTGAGCTGCGGGGGGCTACACACTTGCGCTATCCGTCGCACCAAGTGAGAGAGGAGGGGGAGAAGTCATGAGGGGCACGTTGACTCTCCTCCTCACAGCGAGCTCCCTGTCCTCTGCTTCGGCCGAGGAGCAGAGGGGCAGAAGCAACCTCCTGTCGCAACAGGATGGGTGATAGAGCACAGGCAGAGGAAGCAAGCTTCCTGACTGGTGCTGCAGTCCAAGATCTCGAGCGGATGGAAGTTCACTTGCGGGATTCTTCTTAGTAGCAGGCTGTACTGCTGGGGAGACAACAGGTACCAGCTCTCGTGCTCCTCCTTCCCTCACACTCGCGTTCGCGTGCGTCAAGGCACGGAGAGGCTCCGGGGTTGCTGGATGGGACTTGGCAGGACGTGGCTGGTTGTGCTCGTTGCTGTCTCGTGTCTGCACTGACATGTGTGAAGCTGGAAAAAGCATGCGTGCGGCATCGCTCTGCCCGACAAGTCGCTGCGATGCTGGGGAGAGAACAAGAACGGGAAGACGCAGGTGAGGAGGAGGATGAGGAGGAGGAGGAAGAGAAGGAGGAGGAGGTGGGGCAGGAGGAGGAGGAGTCGAGTAGAGGAGGAGGAGGAGGAGGAGGAGGTAGAAGAGAAGGAGGATGAGGTAGAGGAGGAGGAGGAGGAGGAAACGAAGAAGAAGATGAAGATGGAGGAGAGAAGAGCTAGATCAGCGTGAAGCAGTTGACGGGTGAGCCTGCAGGCGCCAGCAGGAAGCGGTTACGTGAGTGTCTGCAGCGCTACTGAGCATTCTTGTGCGGTGGACGGGAAAGGGAAGTTGACTTGCTGGGGTCTTGATGGCCACGACAGAACCAAAGTGCCGAATGCATTGATCAGTGAGTGAAAGGAGAGGAGGAAGAGAATGAAGAGAAGAGAAGAGGAGAGAAGGGGAGAGAAGAGGAGAGAAGAGGAGGCAAGGAGGGAGAGTGGATTGCGGGTATGGGGTTGTGACGGGAGGAGGGGGAGGAAAAGGGATGGAAAGGGAGGAGGTGAAGAATGGTAGTGATGCTGATTTTCGTCGTGACATCGTCAGGTCGTACATGGGTGAGTGTTGATTGCGGGGGAGCGGTGACATGTGCCATGGACGTCTCGGCGAGAGTGGAATGCTGGCAAGTATTGCTTGTGCGAGAAGGAGAGATTGGGGAAGGGGAGGGAGGGAGGGAGGGAGGGAGGGAGGGAGGGAGGGAGGGAGGGAGGGAAGAAACAGCAAGGAAGCAAGGCTGGGTGCGAGCAGGGTGGCGATATGCAAGGAAGAGATTCGAAATCAGGGAGAGGACGGAGCAGGTGATAGTTCCAGCAGGGGAGCCAACGTACGAGGGCAGGCCACTGTTCCCCAGCGGCAAGAACAGGTTCCCATCCTCGGGAATGCGACGGCTGAGCAGCTGGACGGCTCCTACGACCCGACGACGTTCGCCATGATCAACTGCAGCAACGGCAAGTGCATGAGGACGAGACCTTACCACTGGCTGTCCTTTTCCGTCGGGTACCATCACGCGTGCGGCATCTTCCTCCGCGATCCTGCCGAGCGGATCTGCGGGGCCTCGACGTCTCCTGGGAAGAACGCCTTGTGCTGGGGTGACTACGCGTACGACCAGGCAAGTGCTGAGAGCTGACGGGGGGAGAGGCGGAAGGAGGGAAGAAGGAAGGATGGAGTGAGGTGGAAGAAGGGGGTTATGGGCCTTCGAGTTGGGGGAAGGAGGGGGAGGGGGAGGGGGAGGGGGAGGGGGAGGGGGAGGAGGTGGTGAAGGAGAAGGAGCAGGAACTAGAAAAGGCGAAGGGGAAAGAGGGAGGACGGAGAGGTGGCGGAGGTGAACGAGGCGAATGTGACGAAGAGAGACAGGATAATGTTCCCTTCCGTCCATGTGGTAAGATCGGAACTGAAACTTGCTCGGCCTGGAAGCGAACGGCGATCTGCGAGAACTTGCAATGGAGTCTGATGTCAGCGGGAGGATACCATACCTGCGCCATCTCTAGGGTGAGACATGGAGAAACTGTTCTCCCCGCTCCTCCCCGCTCTTTGGAATCCCACGTTTTCATGCTGTTGCTGCTGCTCTTCCTCCATTTGCTGTCCTTCTCCTCCACCATCCTCTTTTTCTTCCTCCTCACCCATCGTTTCCTCCTCCTCTTCGACCTATTCCCACCTCATTTCGTTGATTATGCTCTTTTTGGTTCTCATCACCTGCTCCTGCCCCTGCTTCTGCTCCTGCTCCTGCTCCTCCTACTGCTCCTCCTGCTCCTGCTCCTACTGCTCCTCCTGCTCCTACTGCTCCTCCTGCTCCTGCTCCTGCTCCTGCTCCTGCTCCTCCTGCCCTCCTTCTTTGCCTTTCTTCCTTTTTGTCCTGACAACTGAACAGGACGACGAGACGGGCAAGAACATGATCAAGTGTTGGGGGCTGGTCGACGATGGTCAGATCGGCTACGTTGACGGCAAAGTCGTGCTGATAGCTGCGGGGCGAAATTTGTTGCCAGACATGATGAGTGTGATGATGATGTCGACTTTGACGATGTTGTTTGCAAGATGATGATGATGACGTTGATGATGATGATGATGATGATGATGATGATGATGATGATGATGATGATGATGATGATGATGATGATGATGATGATGATGATGATGATGATGATGATGAGGACAACGACAACGACAACAACGATGATGATGATGATGATGACGACGATGATGATGATGATGATGACGACCGACGACGACGCAAAAACATTCAGACGACGAGCATGAGGAGTGTTGAGAGGTAAACTGCCATCTTCAAGCTCCCTCCACAGCAGCGTTGTTCCACAGCAGCGTTGTACAGCATTGTTGAATGAAAAGATAGAAGTTACGATGAAAAGATGACCCCTCGATGTTCACACAAGAATTTTCATCCATTTTCAATCAATTCCAGTTGTTCTCAATGTCATTTCACTCAATCCTCCTCCTCCTCCTCCTCCTCCTCCTCCTCCCCTCACTGTCCCTTCATCTCATGAGCCAGCAGCGCCTGCAACCCGCTCTCTGCTCCAAAGTGAGAGCAGATGGCCTTGGCCATAACGCTCCTCCTCGCCTTCCTCCCCGTCCACCTCTCGCTCTGGTACGTAGCCTGCTCAAACAGCATGTGTGGCCCGATGATCAGGTCGCAGCCGGCGGCAGCCGCGCGCTGGCTCAGCGACGTCCCCCCGGGTAGGTAGGACGCATCAAGCATGATCGGCCTTGCCTGCAAGAGCGTCTCGGGGATGACGGCATGCCCGTCGGGGGGGATGGTGCTCACGATGACCCCCAGCTGCGTCACCGAGCTGAGGTCCTCCACCACCTCAGCTCCGAACTCCGCGGCCAGCGCTTCTGCGCGCGACTTTGTCCTGTTGTAGACGAGGACGGGGCCCGTGATCCCCCGCAGCTTCTTCAGCGCGTACATGGCGGCCCTTGCGGTCCCTCCCGCCCCCACCAGCAGCACTCGGGGCTCGCCTCCTTGCGCCAGCCTCCTCATGTTGAGCCGATCCTGCACCAGTCGGTGGATGGCTACCCAGTCGGTGTTGTCGCCGATGAGGATGCGAGACCCGTCCCCTCCTCTCTTCACGGTGATGGTGTTGACGGCTCCGATCCTCCGTGCCGAGTCGGTCAGGATGTGCATGTGCGGCAGGAGCTCCTCCTTGAGCGGGATCGTCACGGAGCCTCCGCCGAAGGAGGCGGAAGAGATCGTCTCCAGCGCCACCGAAACGTCTGCCGTCTCGCAACGCTCGTAGCTCCATCCCTTGAGCCCGCAGGCGGCGAAGGCGGCGTTGTGCATGGCTGGGGAGGCGCTCTTGGCGATCGGGGAGCCGAAGAGGAAGAAGGAGCAGGTGGCAGGGAGCAGCCCCAGCTCCACCTTGAGCCGCCGGATGTCCTCAGCCACTAGCTGACCAGGAGCGGCTGTGCCGGGGAGGAGCGGGTGAGTGCTGAAGGTGAGGAACTTGTTGAGAACCCGAGAGAGCTTCCCCTCCTCTCCCATGCAGAGCCCGACGGCTGGCAGTGAGCTGCGCGCGCGGAACCGATTGATCGCATGCTGCATGTCCGCTACCTGTGTCGCCTTCGTCGTGCGGATGGCAACCTTGACCACGTCTGCTCCCCCCTGCATGCGCAGGCGGAGGAAGAGCTTCTCCAGCTCTTCCGCCGTGTACGCGCGCTCCGAGAAGTCGTGGAAGGAGGCGACTACCCTCGAGCTCCCCTTCTTGTCCACCACTGCCTTGCACATCGCCGTTGACCAGCAGCTCTCCACGTCCACGAACTCGCAGCCCAGGCGCAGGCCCAGCTGGAGTAGAGCAAGCATCTCCTCCTCGGAGCCCGCAAACTTCCCTCCCTGGCTGACCGAACGAACCGTCCAGAGGATGGGGAGGGTGGCAACCCTGCGCAGGATCGCGTGCTGGAGCCGAGCGTTGAGGAGGGAACAGTCGCTGAGGAGGTCGACGCGGAACTCAAGGACATCGGCTCCTCGTTCGATCTCGGGGATGTAGGAAGAAGCCTCCTTCATGTCCGGGTAGGTCAGGGAGATCGTGATGGAGTCCTCCACAACGGGAGCAAGCTGAGAGCGGAGGAACCGGTCGACAAGGGAGAAGAGCTCTTCATGTGCCGCCTCTCCCTCCTCCGCAGCCGACAGGATCAGGAACTCATGGGTGCTGCACTGCTTGTACAGCGGCTCCCTCCTGGTCCAGGCGACCGCGGGAGGCTCTGGCAACTTGGGGCGGGAGGGATCCGAGGTCAGGAGCTCCTCAATCTCTCGGATATCCCTCATCATGTGCACCACCATGTGTCCTGCCTGCGCCGCGGCCTTGAGCCCCTCCCTGCACTCCTCAGTCTCCACGATCCCTCCCCCGCACGCTATGATGCATCCCCTCTTCTTCTCCTGCAGCACCCGCTTCAGCAGCGCCGCCTCCAGCTCCCGGAACTTGGGCCACCCGTTGGCGTGCACGAAGTCAATGATCTGCATCCCAATCTCTGCAACCGCCACGTCGTCCATGTCGACGAACTCCCTCTTCGTCCTCCTTGCCAGCTCCTTCCCCATCGTCGTCTTGCCCGCCCCGCGCATCCCGATGAGGATGCAGTGAGGGTCGGTCGCCTTCGACCCCTCCAGGTGGATGTGCGAGTCTGCGCTCATCAGCTGGGCTCGCAGCTTGAGACGGAGGTGGTCCCAGAACTCGGGGTAGGTCTTCTCCACGCACTCCTTCTCTGTGATGATCAGCCCGGGCAGGAGGCAGCCCAGCACGCCGAACGACATGGCGATGCGGTGGTCGTCATGGCAGAGGATCGTCGCGCCTCTAAGGCCCTCGACTCCCCCTGCTCCCTCGATCTCGATCCCATCGCTCAGCTCACGGCACACAACCCCGCACTTGCCTAGCTCCTCCACCATCACCAGGATCCTGTTGCACTCCTTCACTCGCTGGTTCGCCACCCCGCGGATCATCGTCTTCCCCTTCGCCACCGCCGCCAGCACCGCCGCCGTCATGAACGCATCCGTCATCGACTCCATGTCAATCTCCCCGAGCCCCATCAGCTGCCCAGCTGGAGGGCCCTCTACCGTGGTGCTGCTGGGCGTCTGTTCGACTTTGCAGCCCATCTTGGCGAGGAGGTGGCAGAAGTTGGCGTCTCCTTGCACGCTCCCTGCCCCGACAGCCTCGCACGTCACTCGGCCCCCGGTGATGGCGGCGATGGCGAGGGGATAGGTAGCAGCCGAGGCGTCAGCCTCGACCTCGTAGACAGGAGGGTTGGTGTAGCCGCTGCTGGGGATGAGGTAGCTGTTGCTGCTGGGCTTCTGGACCTGAACGCCGAACTCCCTCATCATCCCCACCGTCATGTCCACGTAGGGCTCAGAGATCGGCTTGTCCTCCTCAAGCTGGAGCGTTAGGTCGCCCTGTGCTACACCGTCAGGGTCCGAGCATGAGGAACAAGAACGAGAAGTTAGACGGAACAACGAAGGAGCGGGTAGAAGTTTGGAAGGGAGAGAGGGGAAGGGGGAGACGAAAGGTGAGGGAGGAGGACAGATGGGAGCACCTGGGCAAGAGGAGCGGCGAGGAGGATGCCTGACACGTACTGGCTGCTGATCTGAGCAGACATTGTGATTGTGCCTCCGTTGAGACCCTTAGAGACGATCTTGATGGGTGGGCAGCCCTCCCCCTCGAGGTACCTGCGGACTGTCAGACAAGGAGCCAAGGAAGAGCTGTGAAGAGTGGAGGTGTGTGTGCGTGAGAGGGGGGGGAGCAGGGGAGGGAGAACAGTAGCTTGGAAGCTGGAAGATTGAGGATGGGGAGGGAGTGATGGGAGGAGGGAGAAGTAGATGAATGAAGAAGAGGAGGAGGATGGGAAGGAGGAAGGGCACAGGGAGGGGCGCTGTGTTGCGCGTGTGTGCTGGGGAGAGGGTGGGGGCGGGGTCTCATAAGAAGGACGAGAAGGGATGGAGAGTGGGCAGGTTGGGGAAGGCACAGGAGGAGAAGAAGCAGGAGCAAGAGCCTCACTCGATGGTGCAGCCAAACTTGACGAGCGCGTCGACCATATCCTTGATGGGCCTCTGCTTCATCCTCTTGTTCCCCGTGATCTGCTCGGAAACCAATCAATGCAAGGAAAAGCAGGAGGGGAGAAGGAGGAGGAGGAGGACGGCGAACTGAGCTCGAAGGATGGGGGGAGGACGGACATGAAGGAGGAGGCAGGTATGAAGGAAAGGAAAGTAGCAGGAGCGAATGTTACCACGACGGATCCTCCCTCCTCCTTGATGACCGTTGCAACTCCACTCAAGAATCTCGCGCTTGTTCCAGAGTTTCCAAGATAAAGTTCCTAAAGCATCCCATCAAACCCTGACCATGTCCTACTCATCATCTCCTCGTTCCTTGCCGCCCCCCCCCTCTTCCTTGCTACCTGCTTTGGCACACGAAGGTTGCCGTTGGTTCCGGAAACGCGAAGAACCTCTCCTCCTTCCTCCCACTCGAAGGCAGCCTCACCTGAAGCAGAGAGTGAGGCTGTAAGCAAGACAGCGCACGATGACAGGGGAGACGGGAGATGGGAGCGAGAGGAGGAGAGGGAGTGGAAGGGAAAAAAAAGAGAGATAGGGGAAGGATGATGGAGGGATGGAAGGCGGCAGCGGGTAAGGGAGGAGGATGGGACAGCAGGAGGTCAGCAGGAGATCAGGAGGAACCTTGAGGATGGAGGAGGCACAAGGCTTCCATGCAGCGCTGGGTGTCGTCGGAGTGCAGGAGGCCCTTGATCCTGCAGTCTCCTCGTCCCATGACAGCGAGCGGAAGGACGCGATTGGAGACAGACTTGGAGCCAGGGACACGAACTGTGCCGGAGAGAGGGCCTGACGGGACCGGAGAGATGTTGGGGGAGCAAACCATCCTGACTAGCTCCACATCCACCTGTGGATCTTGCGTGAGGGAGAGGGCGAGGAAGAGGGAGAGAGGGGGGGAGAGAGGGAGAGGGAGGAAGACGGAGCAGGGCAGGGGTAAGGAGGTGGGAAGTAGGATTAGCAGGAGGAGGACAGAAGTGACGATCTCACCATGCTTGCCTTGGGCTCGTAACAATGGCCGATCCTGTCCAAGAGAACGCACTTGAGCTTGCCTCCAGTGTTCTTCTTGTCGCCCATCATCTTCTTCATGATGTCGTCGATGTGAAGAGCCTCGGGGATCTTGATAGGGAGGTTGTAAGCTTGAATGCACCTGATGATGCGGCCAACGGCAGAGGACTGTCCCATCACAGTCAGTAACGGCAACGTTGAACAATGAAAAGCTCATGGAGGAAGATGGAAGATGACAGGGAGGATAGAGAAGGAGCGCGAGAGAGAGAGTGAAGAGTGGAGGATAGAGGAGGAGGGAGGAGGAGCGGGAGCAGAAAGCATCACATGTAGCAGGCCCATCGCTCGAGCAAGGTTGCTCTCCAACACCATCCCGATCGCCACGCACTCGCCGTGAAGCAGCCCATCGGAGTAATCCGCCATGCCGCAGAGACCCTCGACTGCAAGTACGATGATGAGAGAGCGAAACCCGCATGGCTCATTGTTTTCTTGATCACATGCCTCTTCCTCCACATCTTCATTGCCATCACCAACACGATTCCCACCGCAACTATCTCCCTCATCCCTGTCTTGCTTCATCTCTTTCTTCTCAACTCACCCGCATGTCCAACAGTATGTCCCCAGTTCAAGATCGCGCGAAGACCGCCTTCTTTGGGGTCGAGGGTAACAACCTCAGCCTTGATGGCGACAGATCGTCGAACAATCTCGTTAAGAACGGCATGATCGCGGCTCTGAATCAGCTCAACTTTCTGCTCGCAAACTTCAAACAAGGAGGCGTCCCAGATCGCTCCGGTCTTGATGATCTCAGCAATGCCTGGCATGGAAATCAATCATCCCTCTCTCCTATTTTTCCGCTTGCTCGCTCGCCCGCCCATTCCTCCTCTCCGTTCGAACAAGCTTCTCTTCACCTGCACGGAACTCTCTTTCTGCTCTCTTGGGATCGCGTTTGCTGAAACCATCCAAAAACGCCATGTCCATGTAAACAACCTGAAAGAATACTTTTCATCCACGTGCAGGCAAGCCTGGAAACAGACCGAGGAACAAGGAAAGGAGGACTCAGGGCGAAGAGGAGGAGAAGAGTACTCAAGACGAGAGGAAGAAGTGATGAGAATAGGAGGCGGATGCAGTACCAGCAGGAGAGAGAGGCGGGACTGCATGAGGAGGAGGAGGAGGAGGAGGAGGAGGAGGTACCCACCACAGGCTGATGGAAGGCTCCGATCAGGTTCTTGCCCATCGGTGTGTTGACGGCCTGAGTAAGAATGAACGAGAGAGAGGCAACTCGTTGAGACCTCACCGTCTTGCCGCCGACGGACGCGTCAACCATGGCAAGCAAGGTCGTTGGGATCTGCACGAAAGGAACTCCTCGCATGTAAGTAGCTGCGATGTAGCCTGGACGAGCATGAGCCCCTTGTTCCTCAAGGAGTGGAGGGAGCAAACCAGTGAGATCGCCGATGACGCCTCCTCCCATCGCAATGCAGCACGAATCTCGGTTCATCTTCATCTGCAGCGCTGGTCGTTAGAAGCCCACAAGATTCATCGCCTCTGCCGTTCGAAGTCACCTCGAGCATGTAGTCTTCGACTTCTTCCTTCACTTTCCTGTCCTTGGTTGTCTCTCCAGAGGGAAGAACTTTGACATGAAGAGTTTTGCCAGTCTTGCTGAACTTCTGGATGAATTTTTCGCCGTAAAGGGCGAACACATTCTCGTCTGCGATCAGAATGTATGCATGAGCAGGAACCGCCTGCACGATTTCCTGCCATCAAAACGGATCAGCCAGCTGCAGATGTTAATCTCAAGTGTGATGGGCCACAAAGACCCTCCACCGCAAATAGAGAATCCTATACATGTACCCAAGAAAAGATCGATGCATGGGCCAACTATGATTGAGCACTTCACATAGGCAGCGGAGAGCAAGGACACTACTGAATAAAATGGAGTTCTCAAATCATGGCTGCGGCGAGCATGAAAAGGGCCTCTGCCCAAGCGTGAAAGGCAAAGAGTCGAGACCTCTTTTCCCTCTCCGCATGTCTAGGTGTACACGACCTCCTCCTCCTCGCCTCCTCCTCCCACCCAACCATGCCCCCATCTTCATCTTCCTCCTTCTGCCTCCTCACCTCAGCAAGGTTCCCCTCCAGCGTCACGTCGAAGCGAACGCATGAGGAGTCTCCGACCGGCACGGCCTCCATTGCCGCGTGGCAATGAGATTGGAAGTGCGCTCTGAAATTGACCTATTATTTTTCAAATGTAAGCCAAAAAGACAAATCATGTCAAACTTGGTAGTCCTCAATTTCACCCCACCCCACCCCACCTTCCTGATGGACCCGATCTCTTTGCCCACTACCCCTAGGCTTCTCAATAAATGTCGTAGTGGATATCATGACCGGTGGCTGAGCAGATGAGTCAACTACCCCACCCCTTGGGCTTGAAACCCGCTACAAATAGCCTGCCTGCCCGAAGTCACTGGTCCGACTCAGTCAGGCTGAGTCCCAATGGCACAGCCCGGGGCGGCCCGGTGACTGAGTCGTCGGCCGACGAGGCGGGGTCCGCCGGACGGTCCGGGCGCTGCCAGGGCCCGGGCCGGGTACACTCCGCGGCAGCCGTCGGACAGGGGCGGGGCCGGCGCCCCCCGGCCCCCCCCCCGTCGACGGTCCGTCACGAGTCACACTGCCGGGCGGCCAGCCGGTTCAACCGGGCCGCCCTAGTTGAGCTTGCCATGGTGAGGCGGAATCTGAGTCGGTCACCGGACTGAAGGGCTTGAACTTGACGAGTTGCAAAGTGAAAGGATGGCTACTATGGAGTCAAGTCACGGCAGAATAATATCACAATCTCTATAACAAGTCAACTTGCAGGAAGATTTGCAGGTAAGAACGGTAGGCTGCGGGTAAGAGAGTTCAAGTTGCCTAGGGCCCAAGTTACCATGACGTCTAGTATCCGCGATTAGTGTGATCGTGCTGCCACCACGAGTCTCCGCCCTTTCAAAAAATCAGGTCATGAAGAAACCGCTTCCCTTCGCCTGCTCCTCTGCTCCTCTCCTGCCCTGCTCTGCTTTCCCCATCCTCCCTCTCAATCCCATCGTTACATCATCAACGCCATGACTCAGTCGCACGCGCACTGGGGCACCACGACAGCTTCACCCCATCACCATGAGCACCGCCAGCACCACAACGAATCCTCTCCTCTCGTCGCCTTACATGAGCAGCAGATCCATGATAAGATTCGAAGGACCACCACTTGTCGTCTTTCTGCACACCGGTGTGCTGGGAACAGTCAGTGTCTTGCTCTGCTGGCCAAGTATCGTCGTCTACCTTGGGCATATTCTTGGAAGGATTTCTGTCCGTCGCTGGATCATAAACATTCTTTGCACTCAGTGTCAATTGCTGCAAGTTGGAATCAATCGTCGGCACCTCCAGTCTCTTGGCCTCCTTGTGAATGGATGCAAACTCCTCCGCTGCGGCACCTCTGGAGGAACCGTGAGTTGCTCTGCCTCCAGGTGTCCAAATAAAGCTGTTGATAGAGTGGGAGAGTATTGGCTCACTTGAGAGGATAAGAAATCTGACTCGCGCTTCTGGGGAGCTTCTGTAGAACTGGCTCGTAAACCTGTTCACAATGGATTACACAGCCAACCAGTCTACCGAAGGGAGGAGGATGTAAATCGAGTATTTCATGATGAAGTAGTTGATTCCATGTCTTTACCTTGCCCCACGTCTTCACGTGCGAGACTCCATAGAAGCTAGGCTTTGCCTTCTTGGACGACTTTGCCTTAGTCTGCATCACTTCAGGTGGTGTTTCGAGTCTAAGTACAAACCACCTGCGCAAGCTCTCCGACATGGGAGCCCTGAAAGATGTACCTCTGATCAGCGGCATTCTTCTCTGATGAACAAACGCAAGGGGTTACCTGCATCATGGCAGCAAAGCACGCTGCCATTGCAACAAGCATACAGATGAAGGCGATGGCCTTCATAGCCTGTGTGAGAAACACTTACTCCTCTACAGCATTCTTCCAGGACGACAAGTCTCCCGTACCTGGTCGTGGCTCTTGATCCTCATGATCTCCTGATGGAACAAAGGAACAGGTCAACGATAGTGAAAACTCCTGGAGGCCACAGAGGACAAACACGCACTGCTCAACATGCTCCTCCTCGCTCCTCCTCGCTCCTCCTCGCTCCTCCTCGCTCCCCCTCGCTCCTAACACAATCTAGCCATCGTCTTCCATCTCTCGTCATCGGCTTCTCTCTCCTCTCCGTCCCTACCCTGCGCTCCTCCACTTCCTCTCTGGGCCATCTCGACCGTCTCTTCAGCCACCAACTTGTAACCGTGACCGTTACACCTTAATTTTCACCGTAGCCGCGTGACGGCCGGGCCGGGCCGCGCCCGGGCCCCGGTGCCACAACGGCTGGTAAGATGTAACGGACAGTTGGAAATGTAACGGTTGCAGGCACGAGGCAGATCCTCTGCCGCGCGATGGCGGGAGGAACAGAAGAGGAGGAGGGGGACGGGCAGGAGGAGGGAGAGGGAGGGAGAGGGAGGGAGGGAGAGGAAGGGATAGGTGGATGAGGTGGCATGGCCTGAGGAGATGTTCGAGTTGTGGGGGAGGAGAGGGAGAGAGAAGGTGGAACAGTGGCAAGAAGGGAGGGGAAGGGACAGCAGGAGGGGGTTTGATATGATTCAGAGCGGAAATAAGGGAGCGAGGGAGGAGATCAGAAGAGTGTTCAGAGATGTATGTAATCTAGCATGGTACGTTTGAGTTGTGGTTGAAAGGAATAGAGCAGTATACCATGCAGCGTCAGAAGATCCTTGAGTTCAGAGCAGGATCAGGAGCAGGATCAGGAGCGAATGGAGGATTTCATGGTTTCTTGTGTATAGATGGAAGCTAGACAGAGCGAGAGTCTGAGACCAACGAGTATAGATTGATCCGAACAGCCAGATGCAGCAGCAGCTGAAGAGCAAGATGCAAAGAGATCAAAGGATTCCACACGTTTACCTTGGGACGTAGATGGATGGATCTTGTATGCGTGTCGAATGGAGGAGCAATGCGAGGAGTGCTAGTACCAAGAGAGGTTTAAGTTGGGAGAGTGAAGAACACTAAGATGTGTTGGTAATTAATGAGGGGAGACAAATTTTTCAACGACTAGGAGTTTCAGTGAAGCTGAGATGGAGAGATATCAAGTCAGCGTGATTAAGCGAGGAGAAAGATTTGTGTCATAGGGAACGAATTGAATCCTTGCTAGAAGGAGACGACATCATATTTGTACCATTATTGCTTTGGGCGGATTAGTTGAACATGTACCTGAAATCTTAGATGACCGTTGGTATCTGTGATGATGACGGTGTTGGAAAGAATGGAGACTTTTCTTGAATCTCAGTGAAGTTGAACTGAACATGGAGTACTTAGCGTTCAGATTGTTTGCTTGTGACTGCCAATCAGAGCTATGATCCTCTTATGATTGAAGAGCAGACGAGTTTTTTTGTTCACCCGATTGCATCGAGAGAACTCGCTAATAACATTGAGCGTTGCTGCATGACATATCTATCTTTCTCTGTATCATTTGCGAGCTATGAGAATTGCTGGGGAATTTTCTTGGCCATGTCTGTGCCGTGACTAGCATCTCGATGTGGGAAACTGATTTCGTTCTGAACAGATGAAGCTCGTTCGTTTCTTGATGAAGCTAAATAACGAAACGGTGACGATCGAGTTGAAGAATGGTTCTGTTGTTCATGGAACCATCGTTGGTACGATCGTCATGCCCTGATGTCCAGCCCTGACCTCTTGTTTTCGTCTAGGTATTGACATGGCGATGAACACGCATCTTAAAGCTGTAAAATTAACAATGAGGAACAAGACCCCTGTCCCTCTCGAGCAGCTCTCCATCCGTGGCAGCAACATCCGCTACTACCTGCTGCCTGACAACCTCAACCTCGACACTCTGCTCGTCGAGGACGCGCCGAAGCACAAGATGGGAAAGGTGATGGCGAGGTTCCTTGGTGTGACCTCAACTCACAACCCGCAGGCCTCCGCTCCAGGACAGGGACGTGGAGGACGTGGAAGAGGAAGAGGACGTGGACGCGGACGCGGAGCTCCTCGTCGTTAAGAGGTGAATCCTCAGTCCTGCCTTGATTCGTCCTTTGCTCAACGTGCGCTGCAGATTTTGCTCGTTTTGTTGAGGCTGTGGTTATCTCGCATCTTTGTTTGGGTTCAGCGTAAATCCAGACCGACGGGCCCTCGCGGATTTCTCTTGACGTGCCAGCAGGCAGACGCTGCTTGCCTTGTATAGGTGAAACTTGCTATAAAATATATTCAAAGAGAGGATTAAAGTGCATCGCATACATGTGTGTTAAGGGAAAGGCCCCTCGGTGTCTTGTGGTTTTTACTTCTACATGTGTCATGTATCCAGAACTGCGCCAGAGAATCATGTTGAGAATTTACATGTACAGGAGGAGTGTAGCTCTGTCGATGGGCTCAGATGGTCCATGAACCAAACATTCTGATAAAGACGAAGAGACCAACGACGAGACAGGGGCAGATGAGCTGATAGGAAGTCAGAGCGACGTCCAAATCGAAACATCCATCCCTCCCTCCCTCCCTCCCTCCCTCCCTCCCTCCCTCCCTCCCTCCCTCCCTTCCCTTCCCCTTCCCGCCGTCCTCCTTTCCTTCCCGTCCTACCTTCCTTACTCCTCCCTTCCCCCTCCCCCCCTCCTCCTCCTCTCCTTCCCTCTCCTTCTCCTCCTCCCTTACCCATCGATAAGCATGAGAGAACATCTCGCTGAAGGCGGGAAAGCCCATCATGTTGCAGAACGAGTGTATCCTGAGCAAGAACGAGTGAGGGAGCCTTGTAGAGTTGAGACGAGTCGACACACAAGATAATGGTTAGGAGCTGTCCCGTGCGCAGGAACACGTAGGAAACGAAGGCCCCAAAGACTGTGGTGAAGCAGAACTTTCGACACGCGGCGGGTCAGCCTCTCATGGGCAGGGATTGACGGACCTGAAAGATGACGATGATGGCGACGTTCCTTGAGAACACAAGTCAGAGGAAACACTGCCATGACATCATTGAGCTAATTCACTTCTTCATGTGGCCCTCCAGCATTAGCTGATACCCATGGTGAACATGCGCTGATCCTGGCGTGCTCGACGTCATGGCAGGCCGTTCCCGATCGCAACGTGACGCTCACCGAAGAACAAGGGGCAGATGAAGATTGCAAGGCCAGGTTTCATCCCTGCCTCCTGCATCTCCGTCAGGAAGGGAGGGGAAACACGTGAGGTCCCTTACGAGGAGGAGCGGGAGCATGCAGGAACGAAAGACGATCTCCTCTGTGACTGGGCCAACGATGAGATTCCTGACCTGCAACAAGACAGGGATGAGGAGGGAGGGAGGGAAGCAGGGGAGGGAGGGAGAGAGGGAGGGAGGGAGGGAGGGAAGGGAGGGAGGGAGGAGGGAGGAGGGAGGGAGGGAGGGAGGGAGGTGGGGAGGGAGGAGGGAGGGAGGGCTGACCTGGGTGACCGGCATGGTCCAGGAGAACGATGAGAGCTCTTCTCTGTTCAGCATCCGTCACCCTGTTCGCATCCCACCAGCACTGAAACACCTCCAGGAGCTGTGGAGGAGCAGGTCCGTCAGGTTGAGGACCTGGTTGTCTCTGCGTCAGGGCAGGGTGGGAAGGAGGACGTCAGCACACCAGAGGCCCGAAGAACAAGGAGACGATGAGGAGGACTGGACGCCATGCGATCTGATGGAGGAGATGGAGGAGGGGGCGGATGAGGGAGGGAGGAGGAAGGAGATGGAAACAAAAGCAGACAACGGAGGAGAGAAAAGCAGAGAAGGGAGAAGGAGAAAAAGGAGAAGTGAAGAGAGCAGAGGGGGGAGGGGAGGAGGGAGGAGGGAGAAGCAATCATCAGAGCGACTGCAAGGCGAAGGCACAGGGTAAAATCTACATACAAGCGAGAAACCATCGTCGTTCTTGAGGCCGACTACCCTCAAGATCTTGTCCATGTTGCAGTTCCCTGGGCGATGAAACTCTTCAGGTGTCGAGACGTCAGCAGTCCACCTTGACCTCCATCGAGGAAGCAGCAGACAACAGCGGGGGAGAGGAGGGCGACGACGGAGACACTTGACAGCTCCGTCAGACTCGCACGCCAGCTCCTCCTACTCGTCCCCACCTGACGATCCTCTGGCGGATCGAGGTCGGGTGGTTGCGGGGAATCTTCAGCGCATCCTGAGCATGCAGACGTCACGAGGCTCCCCGGCCAGTCCAGCAGACCCGCCAGAGGTAGAGGGATGCCACGTAGCTGGTGGAGAGGAGGGAGCAGAGGGCGATGGATGACAGGAGGCTGGCTGCATGTCAGGCGCTCGTTCCACTCGTTCACATCCTCCTCCTCCAACACCTGATCTGATGCTTGTACAAGATGCTGTAACCTGCAAGACGAGGAGCTCGTGAGGAGGACGTGGGTGCACAAGAGAAGTTTCACGACCGTAAGGCCCCCACCCGTCGTCCTCGACAGCCCTAAAGTCGCCCTCCATGACCTGCCGACACAAATCATGACAAGCTCTTCGCGCTTGTGCACTCTTGTACTCATCAAGATCCGCATGTGCTCATGTTCATCAGACGAACGCCTCTTCACTCTCGTACTCACCCGCCTCTTGTCAAGCTCACCTGCTACGTCTCCTCAATGGGGATCCTCTTCCTCCTCCCTTCCCTCCTCCTCTAAGCCTGCCCTGCTATCCCGCTGCCTCCCTGCCTGCCTTCCTCTCTCCCTCTGCTTCTCCTCCCTCCACGTCCTCCACGTCCTCCACGTCCTCCACGTCCTCCACGTCCTCCACGTCCTCCACGTCCTCCTCCTCCCTCCATTGTTTCATATCGACAGATATTGACACGATTCCAGACACGATTCGCCCCCCTGTTGAGCGGGGACGAGGGCTGTGTCGGGGAATGGGAAGCGAACACAGGGGGCGAAAGGAGGAGGAGGCGGAGGGAGGAAGGAGAAAGAGGAGGAGAGAAGAAAGAAGAGGATAGAGGAGAAGGAGAAGAGGGAACAGGAGGAGGAGGACGAGAAGAGGGCATGAGAGGAGGGACGCTGTGACAGCAGCGGAGCGGAGGGGACGCTGTGACAGCAGCGGGAGCTCCGCTCCGCTCGCCTCCAACATGGCTCAGGTCGAAGCTCAACCTCTCTCCTCCTCCCCCTCGCGGGCAGACTGCTGGACATGCCGAAACTGGCGCATCTCCTTCCTGGATGCTCCTCCCAAGGTCCTGCACGTGGGGGTAGCACGGCAGATCTCGCTTCAGCTCGTGACGGACTTCGGAGAGAGCGTAAGTGGAGGAGGGAGGGAGGGAGGAGGAAGTGACGGGAGGATACGAGCAGGTCGTGAACGAGCTCGAAGGTCAGGGCGAGAGCAGGAGAGCTCGTGCCCGGAGAGAGCTGGAGCAGTACGTTCTCAGTGTCATGTGGGTGGAGGCTGGTTGACTGGAGGGCGAGTTGACTTCTTGGCAGGGTGGAAGCGAACGGCCTCCGAAGGCCTCAGGTCAAGACGAGCCACATGCAGGTCCAGTTGCTGGCAGACCGAGACGACAAGGAACAGATGCACGACCCTCACTTCGACGGAGGAGGATGCTTCAGGGGCTGGGTGCGGCTTCAGGTAACCGGAAGCGCCCGGGTGAGGCCGCGGGAGGGGTACAGGCTCCTGTTCACCGTGACCGACGTGCGAGCCGGGGAGGGAGGGGAGGAGGAGGCCGGGGGCACGCAGAACCCTGGAGGAGGGCTGATCATGGAGCTGGTGTCGCCTTGCATCGTCTTCGACTTCGGGGGGGAGGGGGGAGCGGGGCACCCGCAAGGAGCAAGCGCGCTGAGCAGGAGAGAGATCGTGCTACACAGGGGAGGAGGGATGGAGGCTGCAGGGGGGCAGGCAGGCAGCTCAGTCTGCTCGCTCAGGGTGATGTGCTATGAGGACCCAAAGAGCACGGGGACTGGAGGTAGCCTGTGGGACGTGGCTATGGTGATGGCAGAGTCTCTCGTAGACATACACTCGTGCTCCAGCCTCCGGGGCAGGAGGGTGCTCGAGCTTGGGGCGGGGACGGGAGTGCCGTCGGTGGTCGCCTGCTTGCTAGGGGCGGAGGTCACAGCGACCGACGTCTCTCGTGAGGCCCTGCGGCTGGCCAAGATGAACTTGAGCGAGAACGCGAGCAGAGGCTGCCGGTGGTGCTTGAGGACGCTGCGGTGGGGGGATACCATGTCAGAGGTGTTTGAGGAATCAGGAGGAGCAGGAGCAGGAGCAGGAGCAGGAGCAGGAGCAGGAGCAGGAGCAGGAGCAGGAGCAGGAGTGCGCTTGCCCGGCAATTATGAGGAATATGATTTCATTATAGCGAGCGAGTGCGTTTACAGCGAGAAGAGCATCGGACCCTTGACAAGGTAAGTGTGACTGCCCGCCCTGCTGGCGATGTCTTGTGAAAGTTTCCTTCTCTTCCCTTCCCCTCCCCTCCCCTTCCCTCCCCTCCCCTCTCCTTCCTAGTCGTGCCTCTTCTCGCATGCGACGGCTCATAGGACCTTTCAGGACTCTCGACACCCTTGCCAACGGCTCGTGCCAAGTCTTGCTGGGGTACCCGATGGTCTGCTCCTCCTCCCCACTGACTTGCTGTCCAGGTTCCGAGAGCGGGACCGCAAGGTCGAGGACTGTTTGGTAGAGATCCTCCTGCAGTCTTTCGACATATCGGAGCTTGCAAGAGAGCGGTTGCCAACGTACTGCCAGCAGGAGGACGTTCGTCTACTCAGGCTCGTCAGGACGGCAGCGGACAGAGACGTCGCGCTCTCCCCTTACGCGCGCTACCTGCTCTCACTTGCGTGAGGTCGATAGCTCCTCGTCTGAGGATTCATCATCAGAGCCAATCAGGACACACGTCTCATCATCATCTGTTATCGTCAGAGAGATTGCAGCGAGTGCTTTCAGGTCACACGTAAATCTAAATGGAAACGCGTGTGCGCTTCGCTCCGTTACTGCGATATGTCGGAAGGAACTTTTACTCGAGTCTCCTGTCCTTGTCACTGATGTGCTTCCTCTCCCTCCTCCAACTTGCTGATCCTCCTCCTCCTCCTCCTCCCTCTCTTTGCATTGCTGCAGTCCTCGTTTCAGAATCTGACCAGTTATGCACATCAAGACAAGCCATGTTATCTCCTCCTCCTCCTTCCTTATTTTCCTTTGTCTTGCTGTTTTTTATTTTATATGCTCACAGTCTCGGAAACGGCCCCCCCCAACATGTCCCTGCCCTCCTCTCCCCGCGCCGCCGCCTCTCCTCCTAAATCACAAAAACATTCTCACTTGCTCCCTCTACCTTCCCCTCCCTTTCACTTCCCACTTCCGAGAAGCTCCTCGAACTTCTGAAGAGCAGCTCCTTGCCTTGCCAGCGCCTTGGAGTACTCCTCCTGTCCCCTCAGTGAGCAACAAGCCGAGCAGGCAGCATGGGGACGAACCTTGACGATCGTTCTCGCCTGCTTCTCCCACAGGAAGGGCTCGTTGACCTCGGCAACCTTCTTCGCATTCTGCACAACCTGCTCGACACTCATCAACTCCTCCTCCTCCTCCTCCTCCTCCTCCTCCTCCTACCTTGGACCAGGAGCTGAACTGCGTCAGGTTCTCCGTGGTGAACAAGGACTTGACCATTCTTGTGAATCCTCCGAACGACCTTCCGACCTGCTCGCCAGTCAGCAGATGCTCCCCTGCCGCTCCTCACGCTCGCACCTTGCCCTGCGCGCGGAACTCCCTCTCGTAAGGGTCGGACTGCGGGTAGATGATGGGGAAGAAAGGCGACTTGAGCGGATCCCCCTGCTTGAGGTTGTGGTTGCCCATGTCGGAGAAGAGAGCCTTCTTCTTCCCCTGGTACTGGGCGTCGTCGATCGCCACAGTCCCTCCCAGCACCCGACGCTTGCGCCCTCCCCAGTCTCCGTTGGGAGCTCCGTCGACCTTATGGATCGAACGAGGGTGCCAGATAAGCATGTCGCCGGGCTTCGGCCGGAACTCCACAACGTCCTCGGCGAACTGAGGGAGATCCCCGTCCTCCAGGTTCACAAACACCTCGTCCTTGCCCACGTACTCGTTCAGATGGGACCGGCGGAGGTAGACAGGAGCGCCGTAGTCAGGAGGCGTCTCGTCCAGGGTCACCCAGAACCGAAGGGCGTCGAGCTTGCCGCCATGGCCCGAGGTCAGAGGTCCGTTCTGGTTGTCCTGGTGCCACTTGAAGCCCTTGTTCGGGTTGACCATGAGGAGGTCGGTGGAGATGCGGATCTCGTGGAAACCCCTGGGGAGAGCGTCAGCAGGAGGGACAGGGGCGAGCGCAAGAGCATGAGGAGGAGAGCACATGGGGACTGGGGGGGAGCAAGGGGAGAATCTCACCTCTTGTCTCCCTCGGGGAACCATCCGCACTTGGCCATCTGCAAGGGAGTCAGCCGACGAGCCATGGGGGAGCAGCGCCTCTACCTCTCCCAGCACTGAAGCGACAGGACTATAGTACAAGAAATCAGCGAATCCTGTCCAACTACCGTCAGCCCAGCGGCATCACAAGTTGCAGGAGGAGATGCCTGTGTTGGTCGTCCACGCGGACCTCTGGATGTAGTCGTACAGGCCGGAGGCAACGCCTGCCCAACAGGTCAGCATGCGATCCATCGCCAGGAGGTGACGTCAGCATCTACCTGGAACAGCCCAGATGTGCGGGTTCTCGATCTGCCAGTCTGTGATCTGTCATGACGCAGGTCAGTCAGTCGACGCCGGGCAGCCATCGGCGGGGCCTCACCGCTCGGAGGTACTCCACCCACTTCTCGTCGAGCACTCCCGGGATGTGAACGACGCCGTCGCGGTAGAGCGTCTCCAGGTGCTCCTTTGTCACGGCGTTGGTTGGCTCGGGAGGCTGTTGCGGTCGTTACATCGCCGTCACCCTCCTCGCTCTCGCTCTACCTGCCCAGGGATCGCTTTGATCGGCAGGGGGATGCCCGGATCCTGCTGTCCCCACGCGTACTTAGTGAGGAGATCAACGAGTCCCACAGGAGGCCTGTGTCCACACCATCAGTCCCTCCTTCCCATGCCATGGCGACGAGCTCACCTGGTGTTGCTCGGAGCCGTCTGCGTCATGGTAGCGTGCCTCGAGGTCGACAACCTGGCGCGTCGCAGAGTGGGCCTGAAGCATCCGCGTCATCGTACGCCTCGCACAGCGACATGCATCTGACCTCGCAAGCCCCTGGTGGAAGGCCCCGGTGTGCGAGAAGGCATCGATGCCCGAGATGCACAGAGCGGACACCACCAGCAATGGCGTTCTGAAGAATCCACACATAGTGAACTCGGCCGTTCAGCAACAAAGCTCCTTCTTGCTAGGCTGTGTGGCAGAGAGGGAGTTTTGACTGAGAACCTGAAGATCACAGAACGTGTCAGAAGACGCAGCACAGGGTAAAGCTAAGCATCGCATCATGCTGTCGTCCAACAAACTGAGCAGCTAGACCTGTTACTTTCTACTCGCGCTCAAGTCGAAAACTCATTCCTCTCTCGACATCAACGCGTCTCTCCTGCCATCAGTGCAATGGCATGGCATGGCACACGCAAGACGCTGACGGGGAACCTTGTATGAATCCACAATGACAACTAGGATTGAGCTCAGAGGCGGATGAAAAGTGTAGAGGAGCAATGAAGCAGCGATAGGTGGTTTGGAGGGAGCAGGGAAGGAGTCAGGTTATAAAACTAAGTCGATGTCATCCATGCTAGCTGGCAGCATCGGGGTGGAACATGGAGAGGTAGGATGCGGTAGGACGTGGTGTAGGGGTAGGAGGTTGTCGACCCAGACAAGGGGGTGGAAGAGAAGAGGAGGGGGTGGGAGTCGATGGCAGGAGAGGATAGAGGGTGAGGAGTGAAGGCAGATGGTCCGGAGGGTGTTGGGGGTGGGGGTAGAAGCATCTGGGGAGGTCGGGGAGGGGTGCGGAGCCATGAAGGGCGGGGGGGCAGTGCGAAAGAGGAGGATAAAGATCCATGGGACGAAGGTTCAGTCCAGTGACGGGGGTTGGGGTGGTGTGCATGATTTGATAGGGTGGGGTGATTGGGGAGATCTGTATGGGTAGGGTCCATAGAATTTAGTGAATGGGTCTGGGTAGGGTAACGAAGGGTGGGTAGTGAGTTTGTACTCGGAGTGGGTACAACACTCTTTGTTCATGGGGTAGGGGTACAATTTCATGGTGAAAAGCCTTGATAGACCCGTACTTTTACTGGGAATACAATGGGTAGAGAACTACTCGTTGTGACTGTTGTGAGTACCCCCCTTCTGCTAGATGAAAATACAACAGTGGGGGTGGAGAGAAAGCTAAGGTGAGGCTCAACCATCAGCACTGGGGTAGTCCTTGGAGTTTATGGGGTAGGGTTGAGCGATGTAGGGTGGGTCCTTCTGTGGGTGCTATGATCCTGTAATGATTAGGGAACTCATTGGTAGGGTACTTCCAAAGGGGGTGGACACAAGAAAGGATGGGTCTAGAAGGAAGTTCGGGGAAATCCTGTGGTGGGGTACAGAAGAAATATCCTCAAGAGGGGTTAAAATTGGTCAGATGTACGGGTGATCAATTTCCCCTCTTGGGTCGGGTAGGAAAGGGTGGGTACGATATTGCTTTGGTGCTGGGGGTAGGGTACCACGTACCCAAGGGGGTTGGGGTAGTCGGGGTAGTCTTGATCGGGGTGGAGAATTGTGACTGCGGGGAAGGCATGACGCCTTTCCTGTTTTAAAAACGATTTTAAGAATTGGTTATTCTGGTACAATTTTAAAAGCCGATGATAGGGAGGAAACTTGTAAGAGGTAAAACAAGTTGGTACAGAAGAGTTATAGAGTCAGGGATCCCAGGATTGTACAGGATTCTGTTCGAGTTTAAAAATGTTATTCAGTGATATAGTATAATATGTTCAGAAATCTTGGTACCATAAAAATATTAAAACTATTTTTGTTTTTGTTTGGGAAAGTTGAGTATCACAGAATGAGTGCATGAAAGTTTGAAATATCATCACGAAAATACATTATGTATACTGAAAATACCCAATAAATTGGGATTCCAATTTTTAGGGAGGGTGAAAAGAGGGGGTGGTACACCCGGTTGATCCACTTTTTCATTGCGACTTATCATTGGACCCCACCCCCTTCCCAACTCGTTCCTTGCAAGGTTCCTAACATGGGGTGGGGGTAGCCAGTCCCTTTTACGAAGAAACGGGGTGTTGATCCGTAATTCATCACTGAGGTGGGATGATATTCTGAGAAGGGTAGGTACTTTTCAGATTAAGAGAGGGTAGAGGTACTGCTTGCTAGTGGGTGGGGGTGATCGGCAAACCTGACTTCATTTGCGACATGGGATACGTGCTACATAAGCGACCGCAGGGGTGGAGGCTAGATGAACCAAAAATGGGGGGTAGGGTAAGTGGAGGGTTACGGACAAGGGGTCATCATTCCATAGGTGGGTCAGCCTACAGTGTTAAAACAGCTATTGTAAAGGTGCCACCGGTGTAATTAATACCTTCCACACACATGAGGAGGGGTGGGTGATTATATAACTGGGTTTTATGTACCCCAATTGCATTTGCGACCCATACACCAGCAGACCATGATCGCCAACCCCCACCCCCAGAAGTTCATAGGATATGACCCCTGTTGGCAAAAATGGCCCTCGTGATCGGTCACGCGGAACTCTTGCAGTAAAGCGGCACCGATTAGTAGTAAAACGCAAAGGTGATTGTACACTTCCCCGGCGGCCCGGCCCGGCGGCCCGGCCCGGTTCGGAGACCATTACTCAGTCACTGGCCACGACGATACCGGGCCCGGCATCCTGGGAACATGGGCCGCCATGCTAGGACGGAGCGAATCAAGTTCAAAGATGAAGAGGAGGCGGCGAGGAGGGGCAGAGACAGGGAGCAGGTGAACGAAGGTGATGCAACGATGCCGTCTCGATGGTCTGAACGGCATGCTGGGTGTGAGAGGGAGGAGGCTGCTGAGGTGTGATGCTATTGGATGTCTTGATGATATCTTCAGAGCGCACCCGATCAGTGTGTTAATCACATTCCAATGAATTGCGGGACATGCACTGATTTTGATTCTCCACTTCGATTTCTCCTTGCGGCCAGACGTGAGCACTGACCTGACGTGTCCAGAATGCCTGAGAGACTTGGCGGCGATCTTTCCATGTACCTGCGCTGATCAAGCTGAGTATGCTTGCTCATGCTCTGACATTGACTACAGCGGTTGATGTCGACATCCTAAATTCAGTTCTGCAGTCAACAGAATGGAATGTGAGCGATGCAATGAGATAAGCTTTTGATGTAGATGAGAGTGGGAATAATGTTGCGGGCAATGCCATGAGACGAGATCTTGTTCGATCATGATCAGGATCGTGATGGCCACGATAAGATGCGGATAAAGTTGTACATCTTGTTGCTAATCCAGATGGTGATATTCGAGAACGAAGACGAGAAGAATCAGAACGATGATTAGAGTCTTGATGCGTTGATATCATGGTTGAGATGATGACGATGGAGATGCAGTTGCAGCTGTTCTTGTCGATAGTTGGCGGTGATGTTGCCATGACGACCTTTGGTTGCTGTCAGGTCGAAAGGGCTGCAAACATCCTAATGGAGATGACGATTGAGCCGAGGTACGATCTGTGAAGTAGAACCCGCAAGGTTGAAAATTCTCTCTCGTCCCTTCTAGCAGCGCCAACCCTCACCACGAGCAAGAGGAGGCTGCTGGTCCCGCCTCACAAGTGCCATCGTCGAGGTCCGGGGAGTGCCTTGCACGCTACTGGGCATGACTGTGTGGCAGGGTATGCCCGTTCGAGCTGCTGTCCTACGATCTGTTCTGTAAACTGCTCGCATACTTTCGTGTTCCGGACCTGTTGGTACTGCTCTGAGGACGAGGGAGAGGAGGAGGCGATGGGGAGGGGAGGGTTGGAGGAGAATGAGAGGCTACGACTGATGATCGCGCTTCAAGATTTGCTCGTTCTGCTGTCGGAACTGGAGGGAGGTCATTCAGAACATCCTAGGTGAGAGGCACCTGGAATGTTTGATGGACGATGACGGGCGGCTGCTACAGAGAATGTGCAGAACGTAGACATCACAAGCGATCACGAGAAGGCAAGCGCCCATCCTTTCCTCTCCGTCCGCCTCCTCGCTCATCCCTGCCCTCCCCCAGTTCAACATGGCCCTGCTGAGAAACTGCAAGCGGTGAAACTTACTGCCTGATCGCGGCTGCTGCCTGTGGGAAGTTAACGGAGCGGGCAGAGCGACGAGCATCAAGATCAGGGGCTCGTTCAGCTCGTTCCTGCGCCTTCGCAGCCTGCCCTGTCTGGGGGGTGAGCGCAGGATGAAGTCTTGAAGGGAGATGACGGTGCTGTAGGTGGGAGACAAACTCCGACTTTGAGGACCCTCAAGCTTGTGGTGATGATGATACCATATCCCCCTCCTCCCTCTCGCTCTCGCTTCTGCCCGTTCTCCTCCTCCTCCTCC